GAGACGATTTGATCGTCCTCTTGGTCTAGAAAGAAGAGCGGAAGCTTAGAAATACTTATATAGAGTGATATGCCAAAGGATGTAATTATATGAGTGCAACATCATGATACATCATAGCATGAAACAGAATGATGCAACATTATTCAGCAAGGACCACAGTGATTTACTCGCTTAACAATGCAGTGTGAAACATAACAAGATGTCAATGATGTCATGGTAAAAAAGACAAACGGTGCATTGTCATTCACAGCGATGGATTCTTGTAAAACATCATACAACATGATACAACACAGAACAACATACACAACATGATACAGAGTTATGACATGATTGAACGCATGCATTGTGATTCATTCCTGGCATGGAAGCTGAGACAACACGAATGATACAAGATGCTGCAACATGGAGTGCTATGATCAGACATGATGCGAAATGATGCAACGTGATGGCCTGTCATGCATAGTTTTGCAGGCGGAACATCACACCGATGCACATGGATTAATATGATCCTCAAAAATGGTGCAAATTGACGCAAACAGAACGGACAAGATGGGACCTGCTGCAACATCTTGCAATCCAAATGCTGCACAATTAATACGGATGAAATGGTGCATCGTCACGCGACATGATGATCCAATCATGCCGCATAATGATCCAACATGAAGACAATAATGCAGAATGGTGGACATCCCTTTGATGCAAGACTGTTTAGAATGATGCACGATAAGTGAAAGACCTGACGCAGTATAAATTTCCTCATTTATCCATCCATTCATTCATCCATCCATTCTTTCATTCAGTAATTCATTCGTCCATCCATCCATTCATCCCATTCATGTTGATCAAGATTTATCTGATACATAGAAAACACCTTACTGCCAAGCTTTCGGGCCACACTGTCGTTTGGTTGCTTTTACGTTGCCAACGTTTAGGTGCGCTTGTGCGCGCACACACCCATCCAAACACGACGACAGGCGCAGGACGGTTGGCAACATGTATTTCTTCCCATCTGTGGGGTCTGATGGTGGCCTGAAGGTGAAACATTTTGTCGAGCTGTAAGCTCTCTGTCTCAGCATGCTCTCTGTCTCGCAGCCACTTGATGCAAAGAGGCATTAGCCACTAGCGATTTTCCTGGCAAGGGGGAGCAGCTGTCACGTTGCTATTGGCAAGCACCAACAATGTGGTGACATCAGTGGCAAGTTGCCGGTTTACAACCCTTACAGTGATGTTAAAAGTTTGCCATGTATGCAATCGAATTTGGTCTTTGGGGTGCATCGCCTTTGGTCTGAGATGAGCACAGGTTGCAGACTTTCGTAGTCGTGCACCGATCGCCCAGTTGATCTCCTGCAATGCCTCCATCACGGCTTGCGGCCTCCACTGGCGCGTCGGCAGCCGCCTCTTGTCTCTGGCACAACGTCGATCCTTGGAACCTTCCGTGAGCCTTGGCTGCGAACCGTCGCTGCGATCCGCTGCGGCCATCGAACCGGGGAGGAATGCGGTGAGGAAGAATTAGTCGCTCCAAGCCCCAAAGGGTCCAAGTGGGTTTTGGTGGGCACGAGTTCGCATGGCTCTCAGGGTGGAACGCGAACTGGATGGGGGTTTGAAGCTAGTGATCCAGTGATCCAGGTGAATCCCGGTCAATCAGCTAGCTCTTGATGTTACAATGTTGAACCGCATGAGTTGGGTATGGAGAGTTGAGTTCCACATCACTGACTTTGCCAGTTTGGTTTCCAATCTACATTCCCAAAAACACAAAACGTCAGTTGGTGCTGTTGAAGCAGTGTCCACATTGCTGAGGATGACTTGCAACGTGGCAATGAGTGCTTGTGAGAAGGCCGAACAGTGGCAGCAACTCTTTGTGCTCTTAGACAAGTGCTTTGCCTGCAGTTCAGAACGGTGCCTTTCGAGTTGATTGGGCATCAACTGGGAAAGCAGTTGAATCTACAGGGGTGCTAGCTAAACATCACTTTTGTTTGTGTGAACATATCAGTTAGAGCCTAGGAGGTTGGGAAGAAGCTTTTGCCACAGACAATGCACGCCTGAAACTCACTCAACCCAAAACACCCTGTAGGTGAGATTTTCCCACCTGTTCAAATCAGCACTTGTCTCTTCTTAACCTTTTGAGGAAGAGGGGATCCCGGCAAGGCAATTGGAGCCGAATCTCATTACGTACAATGCCGTGTTGAGCGGCTGCGCCCTGCGATTCAGCTCCTCGGCGGCATGGAAAGGAGGTGCCCCGTTGTGTGGCTGTCTTTCCCAGGCAGATGGGAACTTGAGCGGTCCAGCAGGGGGAAGAGTTGACTTTTGTATTTTGAGGTTACAATTACAGTATACAGCATACAGTATACATATCAACCTTTGTCAGGACAAATGCGCCTGACAAACCTAATTTTTGGTGTCATGAGTCATTGAGCATCGTTGTTTGTGTCAACGGACGATGTCTCCTCTTGGCCTTTCGCATGCCCTCTGGTCCTTTATTGCTGTCCCTACACATAGTGCTGGTTTGAGGTGGAAGACGACACTCGTTTTGACCGCGTCTCCTCGTGGACCCCGGGGATTCCAGGTGATGGTGTTTCTATGTCTGTCCGGTCCCTGCCCACTGTTCTGTTGCAAGTTCTGCCTGAAAAGAACCTTGGCACCTTGTTATGGTGTCCAGAGCGTGGCCCGCGCGGATTGCGGTCTTCACCATCTTTGCTGGACTTGTATAGTGTAGTGGTAGCAGTGATTGTCGTCGTCGTCGTAAGAGTCGTCGCAGTGGTATTGGTAGTGGTAGGGAGAGTGGGAGTAAGAGCAAGTGTAAGGATTTTTCGGGTTTGCCGGGGTGCGTTTCTATGTAGTTTCGTGAGTCTTTCGAGGTGTCCTCCCTTTCTTCCATTTGCAATGACAAGGGTTGGAACGTCCTTCCAAGCTAAACTCGACTGTTTCTTCTCTTTGCGAACTCGGCTGAGGTTCTTTGGCCTGGTACTGTGCCATTGACGTCCTCCATCAGATCAGCGCGAGGCGCGGTGCTTCTGGCTCGCCGCTCGCGTCTCTGGCGCGCGAGCGCGTCCGTGCGCTTTGGCGGACTCGGACGGTGCAGGCTGATTCGATTCGTTATATACATACTGAGCGCCTCTCAAAACCAGCTGTCGGACCACCGCCTCATTGACTTCCTGAGCGGAAAAGACCGAACCGAGATGGTCTCCCACCGGTTTCGGATTGATATCTTGGAACCTCATCGCACCCCGTTTCTTCATGTGCGGTCGCCAGGGCCGACTTCTGGCCTTGGGTGAGGAAAGGGGCACAGTTCTCGACTACCGCGAGAAACCCGAAAAATGGGGGGAAACGGCAGAGGCGATTCGTTCATGCTTGCTGGGAACATGCATGGTTTCGAACTATAGATATTTGAAAGCATCTGAAACCTTCAAGCGCAACTTTAGAACAGGTCGCCCAAACCCAACGCAGCTTCTCTACGACTGCAGCAGTTTGTCTAATTGGAGATGTCCCAAGATGACTTCAGAAAGACCCAATTTATGACCACAAGCTCCCTCAAGTCTCCAGTGATACGAGCGAGGGTAGCTCTGGTTCCTGTAGTTGTTTGCCTCAGAACGAGGGTTGGATGGGAATTCTTGGTGCAGAAATCTCAGCCTGCCGAGATTTGAGGCGCTTGGAGGCCAATGCCTTGACCTACCAAGAAGCCCTCCGCAGCGCCGGTTCTCCGTTTCAAGGTGTGCCACGTGTGGAATGCTTCGAAGTCATGGTGTTGATGGACTAAAAGTTTCCAATGAACAGGTCAACAAAGTTCAAGGCGGATTAAGCCTATTTGTTTGTGGCTCTAAACCACACACCTTGTTTTCCACTCCATGGTCCATGGTCCTTACGTAATGCCACTATTTACATGGGCCGCTTGATTGATGTTCATTTGACTTCAACGCCCTCTTGGGTTTTCTCGAGTGAAAAAGCGCGGGACATGGACACATAGGCCGCTTGATCCTCAGAGGTTCCTCAGGAAATATGGAACACTTCGTACCACATCTTCCTCAATAATCACAACCACTGCGGGGGTTTCCACTTCCACTTCTTATCATGATTGTTGCTGGGTTGGCCTCATGGTTGAGGCGCTTCAGGCCGCGTCCTGCTGGACAAGCTCCGAAGATTTGCCATGCAGGAGCTCGCGCGGGATCGAACACCATGGGGGCAAGGCTGAGAAAAAGGACTCGGAGGAGCGTGGGATTCTTTTGTTATGTTAAATCAAAACCGATACGAGGCAAGCGAGAAAAGTCAGTAGACACATAATTTGACACATTTTCTTGCAGACTTGCAGAAACATGTGGCTCCAGCCACTGTAGCCTCATATATTTTAGTCCTCGAACTTGGTAACATGGCACCAATTCAGTGCTCCTTTCAGATGTGCGTGTCATTGAAAGTGTTGGCTGCATCTGGCTACAGAACTCGCTCGACCGTGAACTCTAGTGCACCAGTCCTCTTCACCGACTTCGGCTTGAACATGGCTAAACCATGTTGCTCAACTGCCACCTCCATGGACGAACTCCCTTTCGGGAATTTGGACCGTCGAAGTTCCTTTCGGTGGACGGATTTCAACAGCTCACCTGCTCACCTGCTCAGGGGGAATGGGGCCTTTTCTACTGGGCCGAATCTATCATCCCGCCCCCAGGTTCCCAATGAAGGGTCGCGTTTCCACGAGTTGAGTTCAACAGAAATCCCCATCTACCATCTCCGTTCCATCTTTCGGAGCAGCAATCCAGCTCCATGGGACAAATCGAAGAAATCCCAGCTCCGAGGCCATCACGCGACCGCGATCTGCCCGAACTCACGCGGTCGCCGCTTCGGCCCATTCCGTTCGGCCCGGTCCACGTGGCTCGATGGCTCGAAGCAGCGAAGCAGCGAAGCACCGCGATGGCGGCCGTGCCGTCGCTGGGCTGCGGTCCCGGGCGTCGGTTCCGAAGGTAGCGAGGTGGGAAGGCTTCGAACAGGGAAGGCTCCCCCGAAAAGTCGATGGGAGAAAGGAAACTGATGGAAACCCATCCACAAAGACCCCAGTGGTTATGTAGGGTCTCTCTAATGCACAACCATATTTCTCGCTCATTACTCTTATATCACATCTCTTAACTGTCATAGAAATGCTCTGCAAGAGAAGCAAGAGAATAATCCCTTGGATTGCTTCTCAGTCTTCTCTGAACATCTGCAGCAGTCTCATACGTGGGTATGGAACACGGGACGTGAAATGGATTCGCTTTCCTTGGGCGAACCTTTACGAATTTGCCTGACTGGGATTTCAAGACTGGTTTTGGGGAAAAACATGGTAAAACAATTGCCATGGTGACCATTTTGGTTGGTAGAAGAGCAGTCGGGTTTTGATTGTCAACCTTCACAGAATATGTTGGTTGGTTGACCCATGGTGACCCCTTCCATTTTTCCTCTGCCGAGGCACCCAGGGTCGCTGCGCTTGGACTCCACCCGACGGAGAGTCTTTGAGGCGCGACGTAGAGCGGTACTGTCATGACAGGCCTGCCCTGGGGGTCCAGTGGCAGTTTGTCAATACCTGAGCCTTTTAGCAAACGACCTACCCGCGAGGTCGTTTGCTACAGGGGGGACCAGGGCTCCAGGTTTTTTGACCATAGACCATACATCTATGTTTTTCTGTTTTTAAACATCTTTAACTAATGGAGCCGTTCTAGTTGGAGGCCTTCGCAAATCACGAAACCAATGAGACCATAAAGTCTACCCTCGCCCCAGAACCGCTTAGAGGCTTCTTCTTCCACTTCCAAAATGACTTCCACCAACTAGTAGCTTCTTGTTACTAGTAGTAATGCCAGGAGCTACTACTAGCGATGCCCTTGTTACTCGTATCTCCCGCGTCCGTGCTCCGTGTTCGTCTCCACGCGCTTCCGACCGACCGCGGAACCGCTCGTCCTCGCCGCTTCCGCTCCCGGGGTCCTCGCCCAGGTGCCCAGCCCTCGCAGCCAAGTGACGCCCAGGGGCACCTTGGTGTCGGCCCTACATCCAGAGACCCACCGGACGCTCGGACCGTGGACTGTTTGTTTGGAGACGGTCTCGGGTGGGTTCCACGGACGGAGAAGGGTAGGCAGGCAGGTGGAGTTGGGAAGGCCTACTCGATATCTTCTTATACTTGCACAGTTTCCAATACATAATGAACGTGGGAATCTACGAACTTCTATCCATTTGGGGGTCTGTCTACATTACAAACCTCGAGTAATCTCCCGGGTCTCAGATCCGGGTCGGGCTGTTTTCGGTGCATCGGATCGGAGATGCAAGTGGGCCCCGTGTGGGGATCCAGGGTTGTGTTCAGCTGTTGGAACAATTTGGTTTCGATTGGAATATATAGACCAGAATCATCAGTAGCCTTACCTCCTTCCTCGATCCACGCTTCTTTTTTCACCTCTTGCAAGCTGAGAACCCACCGCAACCTTTATTTACGGCAACCTATGACCCAGCTCCTTTTGCGGGTTAAGCAATATTTATATAGCTTAGATGTGTATATATATGTAGAGAGAGAGAGAGTGAGCGGGAGTTGTGGCAGTGCAATCTTTTTTTTACTTTTGATGTTGTGTTTGATCATTTGACATGTGTAAAATCTGACTTACATAGATGCTCCTTAAATCTATCTAGATTAAGGCAATTCCAGCCTAGCATGAAACATGTTGCAAGATCTCTTGAAGAATATCATTCCTTTCCTTCCTTCACAACAATCTTTTGCTTTCCAACAATTAATTTGATTGGATAGTTGTTAGAAACACCCCATCCTTTATGGAATCTATGCCTAGAAACAAGCATCCGCAAAGCTATGAAAGATCCTAGTCTTCATATATAAAGGGTTGTTCTTCGGAATGAATCATACTTTTGGAAGTTCTGGTCCAAGAAATCTATGCTTTGCAAAGGTTTACCTACAATCAACAACCTATCCAAGCAGGGAAGAGCCCCTATTTAAGCAAAAGGTAACTGAAAGAGCAAGATAGTAATACATGATGCATTTTTTTTGCAATGATAGCGGCCAATCAACTCTTGTGTCTCTACTCTAGCTTCTTCTATTGTATTTGCTTTGCATGTTTGCTTCTCAGAACCTAGTCATAGAGCTAAGCAAGAAACAAATATCTCAGACATTTGCTTGTCCTGAAGAGAAGCCTCTTGAGAATAGGACCAGCTTGTGAACAATACAACATTGAACGATGTGAAGAAGAAGAAGAAGAAGACGTAGTAGTACTAGTAGTAGTAATAGTAGTAGTAGTAGTAGAAGTAGAAGTATAAGCATATAGAAGTATATAGAAGTCAACGAGTCAAGGGACATGTAGAGAAGACTAGTCAAATCAATCTAACAAAGGAAGGGGCTAAGCAAAAGACACCGATGACAATGAATAGTGGAGCTAAATATATTGTGGAACATTCTATATAATCACGGAAAAGTAGCAATAACAAGAGCAAACATTAGCAGCAGTTTTTTCTTTCTTGACTTTAGTTTTTTCTTTCGGGCCACTCATTCCCAGTCGAAGATCTCTCAGACTTGTGATCCAAAACATGCAACTGTACCGCCAAAATCTCTGGTGAATGCGTGTACCTTTTTGGAAGATGTTATCATGCGTTATTAAACTGATGTGTTTCAGGCGCATTTAGCTTCTTGACATGTATTTAAGAACTTTCTGTAACCCAAAGTTTCCCGAGTCTTCATTGAACCCTTTGTCACGATGGTCAGTTTTCTGACAACATGTTGTTTGTTTTATTTTCAATGTCGGGTTTATGTTTTTTTGCTTCTATTGTTTTTTGCATTCTTTTGGGTTTCCTGAAGGCTTTTGCACAGACTGCCCTCCATGAATCCCTGGCAGTGTGCCCTCTCAAATGCAAGTCGATTCTTTTTTGACCCGCGAAAAGCACCAAATAAGGTATTCACCATCTCTCCACAATATGCCAAGTGATCACAGGAATCACGGAAGAAACTATAAAGCTAATCCACTCTTTTCTTCCTTCACCAGCGCTCTGCCAATTCCCGTTGTTCCAAGGGATTTCCACTACTCTGGCAAGCGACAAGCCTATGGTAGCTTGGCCAGGGGCCGGTCGATGCGGCCTAAATTCATTCTTGAGATGTTGAGGTCAGACCAAAGCCCAAGCTTGGCTGGCTGGAGGGGGCGTTTTTGCGCCTAGCTGCTGGGTCTGAAACTTTCTCTAACAATTGTCGACGATCCTTTGTTTGGGATTTTGGAGGTTCAATTTTCAGGCAACTCGTTTGTGGAAGATGCGGGAGGGACAAAGAATACTATGAACACTTACGTAAGACAATGCGCCATTTGTAAATACGATACTTCCCGGTCTCAATCACTGCCCCTTTGAGTGCACTAAACCTGACCGCAGTCTTAGTAAGTGTGTGTTTGATTGAAGTCCAAGATGTTACTATTTGCTCCATAGACCAATCAGTTCCCCTGGTGAGGCATTTGGGTGTCTTATATAACATTCTGGTTGATTCATATTTTCTCAACCTTTGGCTGATGTGGTTAATCCCAATATCCAGCATGCGATGTCCTTTTTCTGGTGGATATAGCTCACCACTAATAAGTGTTGATGTGGCATGGGGAGCCCTGTCTGAGGTTCAGTATCTCCCCTGTTGGAGAACCTCAAGCAGAGCACAGCCATGGGCATCCGCGAGTGCCAAGAGGATGCGCGAAATCGGCACCCTGGCGGGAATTTCAGCATCCGGTGGGGCGGGATGTGTGTTGGTTGTGTGACTTGTAGAGTCCATTCTCAGAAGTACATGTCCTATGGTCAACGGGGGTTGGGAGGCATTTTGGAGCTCTATTTTAGAGCAGGTCGCACCGTCAGTCTTCACCTACAGAGAACCATCAAGCAAATTATACTTTGCCACTGATTCAAACATCCTGTTCTTACAGAGTTGATAACTGCTGCGTTTAAGGCCAGTACTCGTCACAGATGTTCGGTTCTGCTGAAAAGGAGCGTAGCAAGCTGACACACGCGTATTCGGACATCCGAGATAGTACTGAGAACACATGCGTGGCAAGCAACCGTTATATATAGGTCTTGATCATTGCGAGGCGAAGGAATGCGAGTTGATCTGGCCCACGCTTGGAGTTTCTTGAGAGAACAAGAAACTCAAGGTTTTCTGGGACTCCAGCTGTAGTGGATCAATTTTCATGCCTGGCAGCTGTATTTTGGGTGCTGCAAAAACAACCTTTTAGCTGGGTTTGCGGGTGCAACAAACTTGATAAACTGCGTGATACGGAAGATGCCAGTAGGCTCCTGGAGCGAGGATAGACATCTAAGAAGCTCTTGGAAGGCTCTTTCTGCTCCGCTTTTACCATGGACTGCGCAACACAAGCTGAGAGGGCACCGAGTAGAAGAAAGACTTTGTTGACTTTCCAGTAGACTAGCCCTCCACCAAGATGGGAAGATACAAAGGTTTCCCACCCTGACCCTGCAGCGGTCTGGAACTTTCCAGGTGTCCTCCATGCAATTTGACACTCTCAGGTGGTTCAAGGCCTATGCGGAAGGCCGCAGTGAACAAGCGAGGAGCCGCGACATGGCGATCGGCCCAGATCGGCCCTCGATCGCCCCGCCGGACCTTCTTGCAGCGTGACGAGTGCGCGCCACAAGCTGTCTGAACGGTCGAGCCAAGACCTATCGTAGGGGTCGAAGTTCGGATCACCTGCGGGGTCACCGAACGGTTTTTGGGGGCAACACGGACACTCCTGCCACAATCCAAACAGGCGGACAGTTTTGATCACCGTTCTTTTCCAGCGAAACGGCCGGGTCAGATGAGTTGCACTCTTTGGTCGAATTTTTCTGAATGCATTGGATCATTAGGCTAAGAGATTGGTCGTCAACTTGCAAGGATCTGATGGTCAATGATCTGTTGGTCTCCGCTTCAGACTCGGCAGATTTTGCCATATTCTGCCTATATGTATGTATTTTTCCAAGCGTTAATGTGGGTCTGGAGTGTTTGGGATTCTTGTATGTCTAACCAAGAACTGTGAAGTCCTTCACAACCGAGCCACCGCATGAGAACGCCTAAGTTTTCTTACCCAACCTGGTATCGGGTGTCTATGCCCGTGCAATCTTACAACAGTTGCACCTTCTTCTACTTTCCTCAGTTTCCTCCCCCACCACAGCAGGGGGTTTCTTCAGGAGCACCCGTGAGCAACTCCGAACGGAGCGCACGTTGGGCAGCTCTAGTCTTCTGGGCCACACCGAGGAGAGGGTTGGCTCCAGAAGGGATTGGCCAGGTGATTGAACATCTCGACCCTTCCTCCAAGCATGGAAGTGAATGGCACGGCCTGTTAGTAGAACAAAAGCGCCTTTCTTTTGGACGCATGGAGCTTGCTGGAGGTGTTCGGAACTCCTATTTTTTGGTTGGGCCGGTACTTCAACATATTGGCATTGGCATATTAAAACACACACACATTGCGGAACAAGTCATTCAAATGGTTGGGACCAGCTGCATACGGATGGTGGAGCAGAGGGCTTCCTCCAGAACATTGAAGAATTCAGCGTTGGTCTGGGGCCCCTTTCAATGTTTCTCAGCTCTGCGAATCGGGCGCTGTTCAGCCCGATGTGCCTGAATTTCCAAACAAGAAACAACCAGATAAACGGTAGGCCGTACATGCCTAACGGACGCAAACCCATGCAAAAGGAAGTGGGTCCTGGGATGGGTTTCCCTGGCACCTGGAAACTCACAGGGTCATTGTTTGGTGGAGAACCGTTGACATTCGAGGAGTCGGCGCAAGGATGGGTTTGGCAGCCGGGCCCCCAGGATGGGTTGTGTCGTGTGTCGTGTTCCGCCCCGTCGGAGACACAGAAGTTGGCAAGACACAGGCGGAAGGGCTTTGAGAGAAGGTTCTCTCCCTGAAATGGGTGAAATGGGAGACTCTTGTTTCTTTTTTTGCAGAGTTGGGCGGTGCGTTCTCTAACTGCGCATTTGTGGAACAATCGTGTTTTTTGAACACTTCTATGTGACATGAAAGGGTGAAGAGTCAAGAGGGAATGCATCACTTGGCTCAAGAGTATGATGGATAACATCTCGAACCCTATACTTGGAGCTGCATCTCAAACCTTTTTTTTTCAGGTTTCCTGACTGTTTGTGGTGAAACAAGATATCATAGAACAGGTATCAAAAAGCCTGTCTAACTATCAATGTTGGAGTGACAATCACTTCCTAAGCGGGCGAGATCTGTTGCAACTCCTGTTGATGAACAGTTCGAGAGTAGAAGGGGTCCTTTTGTGTTCCTCTCATCAACTGCACGACAGCTCCAGAACCACGGTTGACAATCAAGCACCGTCCCATGGTATGTTCAGCATGCGTTTTGGTATTGGGCTAGGACAAGTGTCTTCCTTGAATCTGCATCTCTGGCCTTTCCCTGAAGCTGCCGGCTTGCTCAGTTCCTGGCGTGGCTGGACGGCCAGCAGTCGTCACCAGCACGAGCAGCAGATGCGTCAGATCTGGCAGCAGGTGTGTGGAGCGATGCGTCGTTCGGGAAGAAGAGACCGGTGCCATCTGAAACTTCTCTCTGGAACCAACACACTTTGATATTGGGTTTGCAGTTACATCTGTTCCACGCGGAAAGGAATGGCTCAACGGCAAGGTGAAGAGTCCAAGCACTTGTAGGTGTTTTAACAAAGGAGTTTCTCTCATCTGCGGAAGACTAGCGGCGGAGGGAAACCTGTTTGGGGGAAAGTAGCATGAAACACACCATGGAAACAAAAAAAAGGAAAAAAAGAGTCACAGTGTAAACAAAAGTTTGTGCAGGTACGTGGAAATGGCGTCCCATTTCCATATCCTCGGATGCATCGCCAGCTTTGTTGACCAGGCGACGATGCATCCTGCCTGGTCCCCTGCGTTTTGAACTGAACAGAAACTCTTTGGAACAGAGTGTGACACACACACTCGGCCGCTTGGCGGCGCTCTCGCGGAAACCTAAAATAGACACCTAAAACGCCTTAGAAGCAAAAGAAAGAAAAACAGAAAGAGCAGCGCTAAAAGGGCAAGAGAGAAAGATCGGAGTAGCAAAAAGTGAATACTTAGCCCTTGACTGGGGTAGGGAAGCGAACCTCAAGAACAACCTAAAAAGCCTGAAAGAAAGCCCAAGAAACGACAAAAAGCGCAAGAAAGAAAGCGGGGGGCAGGGAGGTGTATGTACATGTGTGTGTCCGTGTGTGTGTGTCTGAATGCTTAGCACTCTAGAGTTACTGATTACTTAGCAGAAATGAATTCAGTGCAATAGTTAGGGAGCGGGACTTTAGTCTTAAACCGCCCGGGTAGAGTAGACTAGAAAAGGGACAACAGAGGGAAAGGCACCGACACACAAGTGTATCGAGTACCATTTCCTTCTGTTATATACCCTAATTAGCGGGGGGCGTGTTTGTGTTTGGGGTAGAGAATGCGTCGGGGTTTATGCTCCGTAGGCCCGGCGGCTTCGAGTTTCCGTTGACCCGGCGGTTTGGATTTTGGGAATTCAGTAGTGAGACGAGAATCAGCCAAGAGAATCCAACGCATGCAGAAAATCCGCTGAATCAGTTACACAGTAATCCGGAGTGAAAGCAGCGCCCCCTTGCGGGGGATCACACTGTGCGCCCAAGTGGGACGGCACAGTGGCACACACTTTGATATTGGGTTTGCAGTTACATCTGTTCCACGCAGAAAGGAATGGCTCAACGGCAACAAAGGAGTTTCTCTCATCTGCGGAAGACTAGCGGCGGAGGGAAACCTGTTTGGGGGAAAGTAGCATGAAACACACCATGGAAACAAAAAAGGGAAAAGTGGAGTCACAGCGTAAACAAAAGTTTGTGCAGGTACGTGGAAATGGCGTCCCATTTCCATATCCTCGGATGCATCGCCAGCTTCGTTGACCAGGCGACGATGCATCCTGCCTGGTCCCCTGCGATTTGAACAGAACAGAAACTCTTTGGAACAGAGTGTGACACACACACATTTGTGGGAGAATTCTGGGCACCAAAGAAGGGCCTTCTGAAGACGCATCGCATCGTCGGAACCACGAAAAATCCGATCCGAAGACGAGCTGTCGAGCAGCTTTCGCAGGAAGCCAGGGAGAGATGGCTGAAGGCGAATGGCGCCTAAGGCACGCCAAGCGCTAGCAAAAATAATGCAAACGCAACAATCTGCGTGGTTTGGCGACAGGAGGCAAGTGTTGCAGTCATTGACGGATCTATAAAAAGAGTCTACAAGCACGATTTGAGTTGGGACGAGAATGACTGTACTGTCAAATCCTGCAGGAGGGACACTACTGCTCAAATGCTTCTATTATTGCATCAAGCAGGATTTAATATTGGGAGGGGCACTACTTGATGCCTTGACTATTTGACTAAGAATCCAACACCTTTCCGGTTGAATGAAGTGAGTACTATTTATATATTACATAACTATATAATACTATATATATTAAATACAGTGCATGTATAATAAACACAATCCGATGTTAGACCACTCTCGGTCACCCCCCAAAAAACACGCCAGGCATCCACCCAGACGACCCGTCGGTCGTTGACGCGAGACCGGCAAAGAGATGACGGGTCGGCTAGCCGGTGGACGAAGGAGGAGATTGCATTCGCAGAAGAAATCCCGTGGTTATTTTTTCGGTAACGAGGACCGACCAAAAACCACATATAGGTGTGGTAGTAGTGGTAGTAGTGGTAGTAGTGGCAGTAGTGGTAGTGGTAGTGGTAGTGGTAGTCGTAGTCGTCGTAGTAGTAGTAGTAGCAGTAGTAGTAGCAGTAGTAGTAGTAGTGGTAGTAGTAGTAGTATTAGTGGTAGTAGTAGTAGTAGTAGTGGTGAATCTTTACACAAAGCCATGGATCATTTGCGATTGGCACGTCGTTTTGACTTTGGACAGATGTTCTGTTGTAATGTACTCGAACAGATTCAAACTGGCCAGGCCCTTGCAGTTTCCATTTGCCCAAGTCCCACAAGTCACCCAACGTTTTCAGTTTTCTGCTGGATCAACTGATGCGCACCCAAGACACTTCCCTCAGCAGTCACATCCAAACAGGCCTTGGACAGGGCGGAGCCGGCGGAGCCCCAAGAACCAGTATTTTTGCGTCGGAGTAGCCACTCCGGGTCCTCTTCTGGTGTGGTGAAGACCAATCACCTACAAACCATCTCCACATTTCTTGGCCGCTGGTGTCGAAGAAGAACCGGAGAAGCCGTGGTCGGTGCTGCCAAGCAGCACAGACAGGTTGGAATAGCCGAAGTTGGTAGCGCTCAGGGAGTGCGATCAATGCTAAGCAACAGGTTTGGTTAAACGCTGAGGGTCGGCATCCCAACAAACACGGTCAGTAGAAGAGGGCCCCCGAACAAACGGCACTCCTCTACAGACTGGGTTTGTTCATGTTTGTGCACATGACCAACCTGCAGGAGGAAAAAGGACACATCGGACGTATTTAAAGATAGTGCGTATCCTGAAAGTACACATCGGTCGCACTCCTCAAAAGCCTCTTGGCGAGGAAAAAGGACTAACTGGGAGGCTGGAGCGGGGCACGGCAGAAGCCAGAAGAGGGTTTCCTAGTTGCAACATCATGGGATTTCAATCACCCAACCACTGGGTATAGTCTCGGGAGGAGATGAAGTAGTGAGTCCCTTTTTGGTTTGGACTCACACTTTTCACACTTTTCAGATATCACATAGTCAGTGGCGAGGGCCTCCCAAAGGGCGATCTTTAGAAGGGAAATAGCAGGAACTTCAGGCAACAGTTTTGGCCTCTAGGGTGAAAGACTTGGACTTGCCAAGCTTGCAAGGGAGACAACATGAGGGAACTATCCTCTAAAATTCTCTATTTGGTGCTCATCAAAGGTCTTCATCTCAAAAATCGCATGACCGGTTCCACCGTCTAGTCTACACCGTTGCGCCACCCATCGGAATCCTGCTCGCCATACCGTTGGAGTGCTCGAAATGATGTGGCTTGAAGTTATGGGTCTTTGTGTGCGGCCTTTCCAACCATGTAGCCCAAGCACGGTAGTGATCCCTTCGGACACCCGCGATCCATCACGCGCGATCCTGCGTGGGAGAGGGATCTGAGCTCTGTTTCCTTCCTCAGGCCGCAAGTGAAGATTGGGTTGGGGAGCCCTGCACCGCTTGGGTATGCTTGGGTGGACCAGCAGGTCGCTTCCGTTCGCTTCGCGCTGCTTTTCGCGCCGCTTTTCACCTCACTTCGCGAACCTCGCTGGGACCTGTGGCAGATGGACAGTGGCGAGGGCACCGGGGGAAGAAGTGGGAGTGTGATGTCAGATGGGTGGTTGAGTAGGCGTCTTCAAGAAGCTACGATCGGCTTCTGGGTGAAAGGTCCGAGAGGTATAGGAACAAGAGGACGCTACTAGTAGGCTTTTGAAACTTCCCTGTAAATCGTTTCACTGGGAATCGTTTCACCTGTAGCAACAAGAATGCCACCAGGAACGGTCTTTGAAGCTAGTAACAAGAAGCCTTTGCATTGAAAGCCGTTGGTTGGGAGCCTTTAGACAGTTAGTCCTGTTGGGCGAGCTGTCGCTTGTACACTTGAAATTTGGGTCGCTTGTGCACTTGAAATTATGGTCGCTTGTACACTTGACATTTGAGCACTGTCCGAACATGTCGTCACCAAACGCTTTAGGTTGGTCGGTCTTACACTGAACATACATTGAAAACCGATGAGGAAAACCCAAGACCGAGGTCTTCCATTGAGCATACATTGAAAACCGATGAGAGACCGATGCCTCTGTATCATACATCGGATAAGTACTACTACTACTACTACTACCACCAATAGTACTGCCACTACTAGTAGTGCATGCCACTACTACTACTGCCACTACTGCTACTACTACTACTACTACTACTACTACGACGCTTACTACGGAATAGAACCCTGCGTGCGTGTGTGTGACAAGATGTTGACCTTGTCCAACTTGGCAACTTTTTCAGCACTTCTGAGTCCCTTTGTATGGTTGGCAACTGCAACCCCCCCCACCCCACCCCCCACCCCACAACTGAGTTTGTATGGCAGAAGTATGAAGTGAAAGGCAATCAAAACGTGAGTGCGTGCGTGTGTGTGTAAAGATGTTGACCTTGTCCAACGTGGCAACTTTTTCAGCACTTCTGAGTCCCTTTGTATGGTTGGCAACTGCAACCCCCCCCACCCCACCCCCCACCCCAACCCACTCATTATAGTTTGCGCGCGCAACTGAGTTTGTATGGCAGAAGTATGAAGTGAAAGGCAATCAAAACGTGAGTGCGTGCGTGTGTGTGTGTGTGTGTGTGTAAAGATGTTGACCTTGTCCAACTTGGCAACTTTTTCAGCAGTTCAGAGTCCCTTTGTATGGTTGGCAACTGCAACCCCCCACCACCCCCCCACCCCACCCCCCACCCCCCACCCCAACCCATTCACTAGTTGCATGTGGAGTAGGCACCACCCGTTGCTAGGAAGCAGGTAAGTGCGCAAGTGACCTAAATTTTTGATGCCAAGTGCGCAAGTGACCCAAAGTGCGCAAGTGACCGAAATTCCCAGTGCGCAAGTGACTGCCCGGCCGTCCTGGTGGAAGTCACCCTGCCAAATGGGTTTTGAACATGGTGAAGACATACCAGCTACTTCCTGTCAGGGTTCACCTGGCTGGACAATCCCAGCCAGGACACTCGGACAGGAAGCGCTGGGTGTATTGTAGACTCTTGAATAATACCACCCACCAATTGAATTTGACATCCTCTTCATATAGGGGTTTTATACATCAAGAATAGGGTGGAGGCCATTGATTCTAGTTTGGAGGCCTGAAACGAATTATATAGAGTCTTGATTAATAACCCCCCATTTGAATTGGACATCCTCTTCACATGGGGTTTATTCATCAAGAGTCTACTTTTTTTTTTGCGGGATTTCCTTTTTGGTTCCTTTGGTTAAGTAGACTGGAGACGTCCACCGCCGTCGCAGGTGGCCACCTGGAGCGCTCATCGTCTGGGGTCCAAAGAACACCCAGGCTGTCTATCTCCAAAGAACACCATCCAAACACCGGGCTCTCAAACTGTTTGAACTCTATATACAACTGGTCCCTGTTCTGTGAGGTTTCTTGTTTGACCTGGCATTTCTTATATCAGCGATTTGGAGGCTGTGGGCGTTTGGGGTGCAAAAAGGGGCCTAGCTTCTATGATATATACCTTTCTTTGATCTTCAAGTGGTTGCATCGATTTTTACACCTGCACTGGGGTCAAATTATAGTCGCACGGTGTTTGCAGAGCATTCCTCTCAGAAGTTTGGGGACAACATTCCACCAGTCCGTGCGTTGCTCTATATTTTTTTCCTGCAATCTTTTGTCAAGTTGCAATCAATCGATGTGTTTCCTTCCTGGGCCTTCCACTCTGCTCAGCCGGGGCACTGTGGAGCATGAATCTACAACTTCACTGAACGCAAGACTGCTCCCACCTGCTCCGAAACCATTTCTGGGACGAGCTCGTTTGACTCGTTTGTCTCGACTATTTTCAGAGCCTCACTGGACAGCATTTTTGTGGGTGGCTTTTGCCATTTGGGCAGGACACGAGTTGAAACTAGAATGTACAAGATTTTGCTGAGGATTTAAACAGCAAACAGAAAGCAGGGACATTTGTTGCACATTTCCATATTCTGTTCGCTTGAGGATGAGTATTGTTCATGGGCCGTGGCTGAGGTGTTCTTCACGGCTCTCCTTCTAGCTTCTCTGTAGAGACTTCAGATCGTGCTTGGTAGATTTATTGATTCTCGGATTTGTTTGTGAGCCTGCACCAAAAGTGGAAACATGTTGTTGATCCTGCATCCCGCTGAACCAAGTGGGCACGCAATTTGAAGCACCTGCAAATGGTTGCACGGCTAAACCACGTACTTTTGCTGTGAGGACCCAGGAATGAATGTGACAGAGAGCAGTACATGTGACATATATAGATACAGTAGATAAATATGTAGATAGATATTACCTGTGTGTTCGGTGTAGAGCCCTGAAAGACCTCTGAGAAAAGCAAACATCCCTTGGCGCCACCGCCGTCGCGTCATCTAGGTGGCGCCACCGCCTGGGGCCTCGGCTTGAGCGCAACGGGAGGCATGGGCATGTGGTTGTTGCTAGTAATTAGTAATGGCCTCCAAGCTGATGGCGATGGCCTCCACCTAGTAGCTTCTAGCTACTAGTTATATATATATATATATACAGTAATAGTAATGCCAGGAGCTACTAGTCAGTTCTTTGAGTATGATAGTGCTGGGCTCCCAAAAGTAACTTTTTGGTATCAAGAGCCAGCCTGGACATGAGTTTTAGTTGTCCTCACACAATTTTCTGGAGGCAGTTACGTGGGGTTGAACCTTTAGTTGGACTTGGCCATCTTGGGGGAGAGGGGAACGCACAAATGCAGCCAGTGGTTTCACCAGTGATTCTTTTGGAACTAACTGAGAAGCTGAGACTCGGAAGGAAACGGCATGCACGGGTGAGCACGGAACACGGATCTGAATGACAAAAGAAAATAAGTGTTGGGTTCTTCATGCAAAGCGTTGTGCATCCAGTTGATTTTGGGCTCGAAAACAAATCATGTGGCAAAAACAGCTGAAAGGAGGAATCCCGCGTGCCTGTGATGTCACACCAGTCATGTCTCCCAAACACAGTCCCGAGAAAAGGCCCCAACCAAAAAACACGTGAAATCAAAAGGCTTGGTAAATCATTTGGTTCCTTGGGGAATTTGTTGGGTTTCAGACGAGCCCACATAGGGCACGAGATGTCACATAAGTCATTTGTTTATTTGGGTATAGGGAGACATTCCTCCCTATCAACATACACAACCATTTCGACAGACACTGATGTTATGGTGGGTTACCTTTACTTTATTCGCCGTGATTTCCAGCTCACATGATGCCTCGCTCTGATACGTCGCAAGAATCCACAAGCTCAGAACACATGACGGTTCAGTTGGCCCTTGCTTCAGTTGGCCCATGTTTCCACGGTCATTGTCAATGGGCATAGAGGAATTGCCGTCCCAACATCACACCGTGTCAGTTGGGTTGACCTGGCCGATTTGAGCTCCGCCGCGCGTGGCGTCGCGTAGCGTTTCCGCCGGAGCCCGTGCGAAGCATCGTGGAATTGCCACGGCTGGGCGAATGGAGAGCTCACACGGCCGCTTTCTGGCGCTTCGCCTGCTTCCTGGAGATGATTTGAAGGAGAGGGCATTGCTACTAGGGTGGAGGCCATTGCTCTTAGGTTGGAGGCCATTGCTAGTAGGGTGGAGGCCATTGCTCTTAGGTTGGAGGCCATTGCTAGTAGGGTGGAGGCCATCACTTCTGGGTTGGAGGCCATTGCTAGTAGGGTGGAGGCCAGCCCGGACAAGAGACAGATATTTTTGGGAGAGTTAGAAATGACGGTCGACAATGAATGCTGGTATTTCCCTTTCTTGAGACGCAGAATGCACATGTTCTGTTCTTCTTGAAGTTCTAGTGTAGGAGATTCTTTCATTCTGTTCACCAGTGATCATTGCAGCGTTTCACTGTTTTCCTCGCGATCATCAGCGTCAAGCCAAGTCAAGCCGCCATGAACAAGCGCATACACATCAAGCGAGGTGTGTCTCAAACACAAGAGTCAACTGTATTCCCCTTTTCTGGGGATCGTTGATGGACTTTGTCTCATTCAGCTTGCAACGTTTGTTTGCAACAGGGGGACACGTGCTGCGGCAAACTGGGGGGATTCTGAGACACTATGAGACACTTCTCATCTTGCTCCTGGCCAAAAGCCGTCGGAGCGTCGGGACGTTCCGGGGCCTCCCGTGTTTTCCACCGCGCGACATGAGCGACGAGATGAGTTCCCGGTCGTCGATCCTGGGCAGAGAGATGGCCACCTGGGCGCTTGGGTGGGGTGGGCAGGTACGTACTGGTTTTGGATTGAATTGATGGCAATGGGTTGTTCATATTTATTTTCCCCCTATATTTAACTTACTTATACTTGTGCAAAATAAATCAACAGAATGCTATAATTATGCAGTATAGCTATGCAAAGATCTTCCTCTATTTTCCTTTGGTTCTCACGGGCGAGCCATCGCTTGTACACTTGAAATTTTAGTCGCTTGTGCACTTGACAGTTGTGGTTTTGTTTTATAAGACGGATCGTGCTTGTTTTGGTTGTTGCGATTTTTCTGAAGGTTTATGGTGCATTTAAGCTAGCAAGTCGGAAGACAGGGTGTCCGTGAGTGATTCATTGGTCGTCTTCTCCTGCATCCATGGCTCCAAAGACACGGAGAGACATACGTCAAAACAATTTTCAGTCCTGGCTGCACACGTACACTACACAAACAACACACCCACGCTGAAGCAATTGAGTCTGCGTGGCAGAAGTGTGCTTTGAAAGGCAATCAAAACGTGAGTGTGTGTGTGTGTGTCCACCTCTGTAACTAAGAGTTTCTGTTTTTCTCAACTTTTAAGTCGCAGGGGGCGTGACGGTCGATTTCCTAGTCACGCCAACGAAGCTAGG